TTTTGTATCATTGCCCCAATACCCCCATGCATATGGGATATATTGAGTATGGTGATCAGATCATGATATGAATAAACATAACAGTTTAAATAATGCACCAGTGCCTGGGTTGGATCTTCTCGCAGTCCAAGGCACTCTCAGAACTTTCCTCCAACACCACAGTTCAAAAGCATCTATCTTCCTTCGCTCAGCCTTCCCTATGGTCCAGCTCTCACATCTGTAGGTGACTATGGGGAATACCATTGCTTTCACCAATGTGCCCAATGGGCAAAAATATTTTTTTTCGGATGCGAAATGAAAACGCCCATTCAGCAGTACACCCATTTTCGGGAGGCACTTGAAAATGGATATGGGGGCTTCCGATATCTGGCAAGCAGAAACTGATCAAGATTCTCCCAAAATGCACAAGCCTATTATCTGCATGACGTTGAGACTTTCCTTTGAAACAAACAAAATTTTGAAAGTCTGTGTATTGAGCCTTATGAAAAGTTATCTTGCACTTCCCGCATCATAATGTCTGTGGGTTTGAAAATTTAAATTCTCTTTCATAACAGACAAGAATAACCCCTGTGTTTATTTTGAGCTCATTGAGAATCAAAAGGAAGTCCTGACCAAAGAAACCCCACACCTTTCATCAGGTTGAAATTCCTGAGCCAAACATTAATGTACTCTCATTTCTTGGTCACCTCAGCTGCAGCTTTATTTCAATACATCCCAAAATGCCACTGAGGGGAAAAAATAATCATCAAAGTTTCTTTGAATAGCAAATGGAGTAGTTGGCAGTGCACTCTGAGTTGGCCCAACCTGGATGGAAATATTTACAATGCTGATGCGTACAAGTAACCTAATTAGCATCTCCAAAGGCACCTACTGACCCATGTTATACTAATTGCCTTGTAAAGCCCCCTTCACTATAAAAAACCCCCCAATTTCTATGAATTTATGGGTCAGCTTAGAGCTACTTAATGAAAAAGCGGTGCCTCTGAGCATAGCCAAGAACAAGGAGGCCGGTTGTTAGGACCTCACCAATAGTCTTCTACAAAGAATGTTTGAATCAAAGCTAGATCAAACCAAATCAAGTCAAGCTGGATCAAACCAAAATCTTATTTAATCCATCATTCTGTGCTCAGAGTGGCCAAATAGATGCCTCTAGGAATACCACAAGCAAGATGTGAAGGGAAATACTTCCTCCTATTCATTATGTTTATTCAATACATCATATTCCTATGTATGGCTATGAAACTGAACAGTGAAGAAATCTGATAGGAAGAGAATCAATGTATTTGAATGTGTTGCTGGAGAAGAGTTCTGCAGATAATGTGGACTGTAAAAAATGAAATATAAATAGATTCTAGAGCAGTGTTCCTCAACCTTCCTAATGCCGCGACCCCTTAACATAGTTCCTCATGTTGTGGTGACCCCCAACCATAAAATTAATGTTGTTGCTACTTGATAACTGTAATTTTGCTACTGTTATGAATTGTAATGTAAATATCTGATATACAGGATGTATTTTCATTCACTGGCAAAAATACCCGATATGCCCAAATTTGCATACTGCAGGGGTTGCGAGAAGATTGATTTTGTCATTTGGGAGTTGTAGTTGCTGGGATTTATAGTTAACCTACAATCAAAGAGCATTCTGAATTCCACCAATGATATAATGGAACCAAACTTGGCACACAGACCTCCCATGATCAACAGAAAATACTAGAAGGGTTTGGTGGGCATTGGCCTTGAGTTTTGGAGTTGTAGTTCACCTACATTCAGAAAGCACTGTGGACTCAAACAATGATGGATCTGGACAATGATGGAACTTGGCACGAATATACAATATGCCCAAATGTGAACACTGGTGTAGTTTGGGGAAAATAGACTTTGCATTTGGGAGTTTTAGTTGCTGGGACTTATACTTCACCTACAGTCAAAGAGCATTCTGAACCCCACCAATGATGGAATTAAACCAAACGTGGCACACAGGACTACCATGACCAACAGAAAATACTGGAAGGGTTTGGTGGGCATTGATGTTGACTTTGGGAGGTGTAGTACACCTACATCCAGAGAGCACTGTGGTCTCAAACAATGCTGGATCTGGACCAAACTTGGCACGAATATTCCATATGCCCAAGGAGGAACACAGATGGAGTTTGGGGAAACTAGACTTTGACATTTGGGAGTTGTAGTTACTGGGATTTATAGTTATCCTACAATCAAAAAGCATAGATAGAATTGGCTCAGACATCCCACACAGAACCCCCATGACCAACAGAAAATGCTGTGTTTTCTGATGGCCTTTGGCAACCCCTCTGACATCCATTCATGACCCTCCAGGGGTCCCAACCCCCAGGTTGAGAAACACTGTTCTAGAGCAAATCAAGACTGAACTCCCCAAAGAAGGCAAGATGACTAGACCAAGACTGTCATATTTTGGCCATATTATGAGACAATATTACTATTTTTTGAGCCCCCAGTGGCGCAGTGGGTTAAAGCGCTGAGCTGCTGAGCTTGTTGTAGGCTCGAATCTGGGGAGTTGTGTGAGCTTCCACTGTCAGCCCCAGTTTCTGCCAATCTAGCAGTTCAAAACAATGCAAATGTGAGTAGATCAATAGATACCGCTTCAGCAGGAAGGTAACGGTGCTCCATGCAGTCATGCCAGCCACATGACCTAGGAGGTGTCTATGGACAACGCCTGCTCTTTGGCTTAGAAATGGAGATGAGCACTACACCCCAGAGTCGGACACAACTGGACTTAATGTCAGGGGAAAACCTTTACCTTTACCTTATTACTAATTTTAAAAGACAATAAAGTAGAAGACAGTAGAGAAAGATGAAGAGCACAGTAGAAATACATAGACTCAATGAAGGAAGCCATGACCCTAAAACTTGCAAAACTTGAACAGGACTTTTGATTATAGGGTGTCTTGGAGGTCTCACATAGATAGGGTTGCTATAAGGTAAAGTTGACTTGATGCCACTTAACAACCACAAACTCATTTCTAACAGTATATATATACTAAGAATTTGTACCTAAATTTGCATTTTCTTCTTCATTCCCATTCCTGTTTCCTCTTGTGTTTTCCTATTCAGAGATTATTCATCTCAGTTTGGGCAGAATTTTTATTTTGGGCAGTGATACACCTTTGTCCAAGTGTGGACAGGCTTCAGATTTGTACTGGTGAGATTGTTAACATATGCTTACTTGCTTATAGTGTAACAGAGAGAGTGTCTTGAGATTATTTACTTACCATAAGAGACAATAAAAATGGTGCGGATCTTTCACTCTATGAGCGGAAGACCTCCTGGTCATGTCTCCATCTGCCCTTCAGGTGTCTGAGGAGACGGGGGCAATGGGAAAACCTCTATTAACATGTTTAACAGACTTACATTTATGCCTCTTCGCCATCAGCATTAGCTTGGTAGGAGTGTGTTTTTGCTTTTTTTCATTTTATAGAAAGGAAATATCCTAAGAGCTGGAGGATGGCTGTTGAATAGGTGGGCATGCTAATGAGGTGTCATCATCCAACTTGACGCATTGAAACAGAATTGAAACAGAAGCCTTCAAACATTAGCCTAGTTCTGTTAACTTGGAAGCAAGCCTTCAGAATGATGTTGCTAGGAAACTAGAGAAGAAATATGTATGCATTTTTCAACAAGATCTTTATCTCTCTTCCATCAAGAGAAGTTCAAAATGACTTTTAAAAGTAGAAAAAAATGGCAAGCTAAGAGTGAAATTGAGGGATATGAATGTGCATTGAAAGTAAGAGCCCTATACAACAACAACAATAACAACAACAACAACAACAACAATAATAATACTTTATTTGTACCCCGCCACCATCTCCCCCAACGGGGACTTGGGGCGGCTTACATGAGGCCAAGCCCAAACAACAAATTACAATAAGTTAAATACAAATTACAAATTATAGATGAAAGTCAGTAGGCACCAACAAAACAAAACACAAAGCAACTAATTTAAAATATTGAGAAGGTAAGTTTGATTCATTTGTTCTATATTATTGCTTGTGGAATATTGCTTGCATTTTATATTGTCTATAATATTTGTACCTTTTGGTCCCCGGTGGCACAGTGGGTTAAACCGCTGAACTGCTGAACTTAAATCGCTGAACTGCTGATCGTATTTATTTTATTTTATTTATTTAACTTGTATACCGCTACTCCAAATTTGGCTCGGAGCAATTTACAGAAATAGATTAAAACAATACAATTAGCTTTAAAACAACCACAACAATAACAATAGGTAGCAAGGACAGACATAGCCCAGGTTGTTCACCCATCAAAAGCTTGCCAGAAAAGAAAAGCTTTGCAGGCTTTCCGAAAAGCAGATAAGTCTTGAATGATTCGAGTTTCCACCGGCAAGGCATTCCATAAATAAGGGGCTATGATCGAGAAGGCTCTATGCCTAGGTAGATGACAAATGATAACTCCGGATGTTAGGGACTGCGAGCAAATTTTGGTCTTCAGACCGGAGTAATCTCTGGGGTTGGTAGGGGGATAAGCGGGCCCTCAGGTACGCCGGCCCCAGACCATATAAGGCCTTAAAGGTTAGTACCAGCACCTTGAAAGTGATCCAGTACTCATCGGTAGCCAGTGCAGCTGTTGGAGAATTGGGGTGATATGACATCTCGCCAGCACCCCGGCGAGAAGACGAGCCGCCGCATTTTGCACCAGCTTCAGTTTCCGGATCACTGACAAAGGAAGGCCAATGTAGAGGGCGTTACAGTAGTCAAGCCTCGAGATGACCATCGCCTGGATCACCGTAGCAACCAAACTTGTTTATTGAAAGGTCACAGGTTCGAATCCGGGGAGTGGCATGAGCTCCCGCAGTTAGGCCCAGCTTTTGCCAACCTAGCAGTTCAAAAACATGCAAATGTGAGTAGATCAATAGGTACTGCTCTGGCGGGAAGGTAACAGTGCTCCATGCAGTCATGCTGGCCACATGACCTTTGGGACTTCCGGGTGTGCATCATGGCGGGAAGACAGGCGCTATAGAGCTCCGCGAGGCGCCGGCTCATTTCAAGCAGCTGGGTAGAGCAAAAGCTCCCTTCCCCTTTGTGGATCGAAGCGGGGGAACTGCAAAACCACAGGTGGTTCGGCCGACGGCCCTAAGTGGGTCTTCTCCTCAAGAGGAGGCCCCCAAAGGGTCCAGCAACGTCCACCCAGGTACGGCGGGCTGTGGATGAGCCAACAGGGAAACACTCCCTGCTAATTCCCGACCAGCACACCTTTTTAAGCACCGGAATTTGAAAGAAGAAGAAGAAAGAAATGTAAGTAAGAAAAAGTATCGTAAGGAGGTGAAAGAAAGCTCCCTCAGTATTAACAGCAATTGTAAACCAAACTAAATAGCTCAATAAGGAAACGCCGAGTGGGGACACTCTGGCAACTGGGAATAGGTGAAAAAAGAAACAGAAAGAAGGGCAAAAAATTGGAGCAAAGCCCAAAAAGGATATTTATCTATCTATACTTATCTATCTAATTATTAAAAGCTAAAGACAGACAACAGACGGACATGTAACAGATAAATAATTTATAAATAACATATTCAAAACAAGGAGAGATAAAGAATACACCCAGCAGGCAAAGGAAAGCAAAAGAAAGCAAAAGAAAGACAAACATTGGGAGAACTTAAGTAAGAATAAAGGCAATAAGGCAATAATATAAGAATATAAGAAATATAAGAAATACAAGGAAGTGGTTTAGTTAAACAGGGAAAAAGAAGAAGAGAATCTAAAGAACCTAAAGAGTCCAAAGAATCTAAAGAGTTAACCAGAGAGATAAAGACGAAGGAACTGACCTTGGAAACCTTGGAAACCTTGGATTCCACTATTGTTGTGTCTTCAGAGAGGAGGTGAACGAAGGTGGGCGGAGGAAGGAGAGAGAAAGGAAAAAAGTGACGGCAGAGAGAGGATAGGCGGAGTCTTGTGCGAGTCTGGTGGGAGAAGCGCGTGGCGAAGAACCAGGAAGTAACGCGAAATAACGCGAGAAAGCCAAAATCCCGCGAGAAGACGCAAGAAGGAAAAACAAAACGCGAGAAGTCGCAAATCCCGTAGAGAATCGTGAGAAGGAGAACGGGAGGTGAAGCAGGAAGTAAACAAAGAGAAATACAGTAAAGAGAATAAGGGACAAGGAGAAACCGGGAGAAGCCGGGAGGCCAGAGAAACACAAGAAGAAGAAGAAGAGGGAAAAGCGGGATCCGTGACCTGGGAAGCAGAAGGAACAACGGGGCAAAGGAGAAAGTCAAGAAGAAAACAGGTAGAAAATCACAGCGGGGAAAACAAATAAATAAATAAATAAATAAAATAAAAAATAAAAAATAATAAAATAATAATAATAAAATAATAAAATAAAAAAATAAAAAAGAGAGAGAGAGAGAGAAGGGGAGAGAAAATAAGGAGATACCCAAAATAATACCCAAACAATAAAATAACCCAAACTAACCAGAGCACAATTGGATAACTGGACAATTAAATACTTAAACAAACATAATAAATAAAATAAATATAAAAACAAGAAACAGTAACATCAAGCATCAAGAATAAAACAATCAAATTAAGAGAACTACACTGCTGTCCTAAACCAATTTCCTTTTACAGAGGGGGAAACCCCATATAGACAATATTAAATAAAGCAAATATTAACCTCCCACAGATTACCCAAAAGAAATATCGAGAAAGGCCTCCTTCTAATATCTAATATCAAAACAATACAAAGGAAAGGGAAGGAAAGGGAAGAGGAGATGGCGACTTTGTCTCCGAAGATAAAAGAGATAAAAGAGGTGAAAGAAAATAAAGGAACAACAAGAAAGGGTTCAGTTTCAGAAGAGCCAAGTGTGAGAGATATGTTAAAGGAGATTATCAAAGAGCTACAAACAGTGAAAGAGAACCAAGAAGAACACCAGAAAACAACACAGGGTCAAGCACAAAGCCTGAAAGAGATAAAAGAGGAAATGAAAGGAATGAAGACAGAAATAGTGTTGCTACAAAGTGAGATCAAAAGCCTGAAAATAGAAAAGAAAGAAATGCAAAAAACGCAAGAAAGCTTAGAAAGAAAGATAAAGATACTGCACCTGGAAAAAGAAAGACTAGAAGAAAAACAATCGTACACGGAAGCAAAGGAGATGGAATTTCAATTAAGATTAAGGAACATCCAAGAAGAGCAAGGGGAGAATATAAGGGAAAAGGTAAAGGAGATCCTGGGAGAACTTATGGAAAAGTCAGAACAAGAAATTGAAGACCAGACAGACAGAATACATAGAATTAACACCAATTTCGCGAGGAGAAACAGAACTGCGAGAGACGTGTTAGTCCATTTTGTGAAGAAGATTCAAAGAGATGCGATATTAAAGGCGAGCAGCAAAAAAACCGTCTTGTACAAGGGCAAGAAGGTCATAATATTGAAAGAGATACCAGGAGTCGTACTGAACAAAAGGAAAAAATACAAACCACTTGCTGAAGAACTCAAAAGGCAGAAAATACGCTTTCAATGGGAAAGAGAAGGCCTAATGACAACATATCAGGAACAGAAACATTGGATTACAGATGAAGAAACAGCAAAGGACTTTTTAAAAAGGATTACAAAAGAAAGAGAAGGAAAAATGGAATATCAAAGAAAGGGAGAGAAGGAAAGAAAAAGAGCCCGTACAGATTCACCTGAGAAGGAAGACATAGACAAGGAGAATTACAGAATGGACCTAGGAAGAGTAATAGACACAGCGAACTTAAATAAGGTGGAAGAAGAGTCCGACGACGAAGAAGAAGAAGAAAAAGAAGACGAGAGAGAAATAGGAGAAGAGCAGGAAGAAAAGACAGGAGAAGAAAGAAAACAACAGAACAACACAACACAGCTAGGAAACATCTAAAGAACGCTGGATTTTATAAAAATCTACTCAAACAATATTAATGGTTTTAACTGTAAAAATAAAAGAAATAAAGTATTTAACAGAATAAAAAAGAACCGGTATCACGTGATTGCCTTTCAAGAAACTCATGTCGCACAAAAGCATATAGCACACCTAGACAATAAACACCTAGGGAGGGCATACTATTCCTCAGCTCCAGAAAAAAAGAGAGGGGTGGTAACATACATAAATAAAGATATTCCATCAAATCAAGCATTCAAAGATGAGGAGGGCAGATTCCTAGGGGTAACAATAACAATAAAAGGTAAGAGAATATTACTGTGCAACATATATGCCCCAAACGATTCTAAAACAAAATTCGCAGAAAAACTAAAAACTCATATCAGCTATCATGAATTCGACCACCTGATCATTATTGGAGATTTCAATGGTGTGATAGACACATCCAAGGATAGAAGCAACAATGAACACGACAGAAGAAAAGATAGAAAGAAAAAAAGAGGAGGAACACTACCCAAAACGATTACAAATATAATGTCAGAAATGAACCTAGAAGATATCTGGAGAAGAAGAAACGAAGAGAAGAAAGATTACACCTACTACTCGGCCAGACATGGAACGTGGTCCATGACATAGACATGGCCTGGGTGTCAAAATCATTAACCACAGAAATAGAAGAAGTGAATATCTTACCAAGAATGGAGTCAGACCACTGTCCAATAGAAATAAAAATAAAACTAGAAGAAAAGGATAGAAGATGGAGATTAGATGACAATCTACTGAGAAATGAAGAAGATGTGGAAAGGAACAGAAAACTATTGAAAGAATATTTCAACATAAATAACACTCAGGAAACACATCCGTTCACACTTTGGGAGGCTAGTAAAGCAGTGATGCGTGGCAACTTCATACAACAAAAAGCAACAAAAAATAAAACCAAGAAAATAAAAGAAAAAGAACTAATGAAAGAAATCACAAAAGAGGAGGCCAACCTGAAGAAACACCCCAAAAACAGAGAAATCATCCAGAATTTGAAGAGATTACAAAAACAAAGGGAATTTCTAGAACAAGAAGAAAGGGCAAAACAACTAAAATTTATAAGGCAAGATTATTTCGAAAATTCAAATAAACCAGGGAGATGGTTGTCAAATAAATTAAGGAAGAGAAGGGAAACATCATTCATAACAAAATTAAAGGAAGGGGAAAAGACATACACACAAGGAAACCAGATAAAGAATCAATTCGAAAAATTCTACCAGAAACTATACAAAGCAGAAGAAATAGATAAAAATGCAATTTATAAATACTTGGGTGAAAGAAATATAACGCACATAACGGAGGAACAGAGAGAAGAATTGAATAGGGAAATCTCCGAAAAAGAAATCAAAAAGGCAATAAATGAGCTGAAAAAGGACAAGGCACCGGGACCAGACGGCCTAACGGCTACCTACTACAAAACCTTCCAAGACGAACTAACCCCTTTTCTTAAGAGAGTGATGAATGTAATTAGAGAAAAAAAGAGAAACACCCCAAACATGGAGGCAAGCGCTGATAACTTTAATACACAAAGAAAATACAAACCCAGAAAATGTGAAAAATTATAGGCCCATTTCACTGCTAAATTTAGACTACAAATTACAGAATTAGAATACAAATTGCAGAAAGATTAAAAAAAATATTGAGCAAAAGAATCAAAGAAGAACAAGCAGGGTTTCTACCCAAAAGATCACAATCAGACAATGTCAGGACCATAATAAATCTTATAGAATATTACGGAAACAATATACAAAAGAAGGTAATGTTTTTAGCATTGGATGCCGAAAAAGCTTTCGACAACGTAAATTGGGATTTTATAAAAATTTTCATAAAAGAGATGGATATGGGTTATTATTTCGAAAACATAATTGGAGCCATATACGACAAACAGGAAGCGAAAATCATAATAAACGGCAAACAAACGGAGACAATCCAAATCCAGAAAGGAACAAGACAAGGCTGCCCAATTTCCCCGCTAATTTTTATCTTAACATTAGAGATTCTATTGGATAGAATAAGAGATGACAAGGAAATTAAAGGAACACGCATTCAAGGCCACGACTATAAGATAAGAGCGTTTGCAGACGACTTAATAGGAATAATAGAAGAGCCAAAGAATAACCTAGGAAAATGGATAAAGGCAATCAATGAATATGGTCAAGTTTCGGGATTCAAAATAAACTTAGAAAAAACCAAAGCGATAACAAAAAACATTCCAAAGAAAGAACAGGAAACAATAGGAAAAGACTGGAACATCCAAATAACACAAAAAATAAAGTATCTAGGCATTACCCTTACCGCAAAAAATCTACAATTAATGGAAAATAATTACATAGAAAAATGGAAAAAAATTAAAAAAGACTTAGAAAACTGGGGCAATATGAAATTATCACTACTAGGAAGGATAGCAGCCGTAAAGATGTCAATACTGCCAAAACTAATGTTTCTTTTTCAAAATTTACCAATAATTAGATCCCAAAAAATACTAGATAGTTGGAAGAAAGATATGATGCGCTTCATCTGGCAAAAGAAAAAACCGAGAATAAACTATAGGAATATGACAGAAAGGAAAAACAAAGGAGGCCTAGCGACACCAAACATTAAACTATATCATGATTCTTGTGCATTAATCTGGATACGTGATTGGGCAAAACTTGAAAAGAAGACGATCTTAAACATAGAAGGGGAAGGATTGAGGTCAGGCTGGCATGCCTATCTGGGATATGACAAAGCAAAAAAAGAAAAGCATTTCGGAAATCATTTTGTGCGATCATCCTTAATCAAAGTTTGGAATAGACACAAAGACAAACTATACAAGAGAACTCCATTATGGCTATCACCACTTGAAGCCTCTCAAAGAAGAACGTTAGGATGGAACGATTGGCCCAAATACAAAGACATAATAAAAAAGGAAGGAGGAGAATTCAAGATCAAAACACAATAAGAACTAAAAAACATAAACAGCAGAATCTCGTGGTTTCAATACGAACAAATTAAAGAACACTTCAAGATAGACAAAGAAAAAGGATTTGAAGAAGGTACTAGCTTCTGGGACAAGATAATGCAAACCGAAAACAAACTAATTTCAAAGATATACAAAAAACTACTAGAGGAAGAAAGAGATACAGAAAATGAGAAAACCTATATGAGAAAGTGGAAAGAAAATCTAGGAAGAGAAATAAGAAAAGAAGAATGGGAAGAAGTATGGAACAAGAAATTAAAATATTCAAAAGCAATGGAACTTAAAGAAAATTGGTTTAAAATAGCCCACAGGTGGTATTTAACACCACACAGATTAGGCAAATTCAATAAAAACACAAACACAAAATGCTGGAAGTGTAGAAAACAGGAAGGGACATACTACCACTTATGGTGGACCTGCCCGAAAGCACAACATTATTGGAAAAACATACAAAAATCATTACAAAAAATACTAAAGATAGATATACCTTGGAAACCAGAAACATTCTTATTAGGGATTCACAGCTTAAAGATGGAAAAAAATAAGGACAAACTTTTATTCTTACTAACAACAGCAGCCAGAATAATATATGCAAAACATTGGAAGGATGAAGAACCCCCGGAAGAAGAAGAAGAATGGCTAACAAAGATCTTGGACATAAGAAACATGGATAAACTAACCTATATACTATCAAAAAGAAAGGGCACTCCATCAATAGAAATAGACTGGAAACAAGTAACAATATATTTGACAAAAGAAAAAAACATGACAATAATCATATGAAAGAGATGAAAGCAAACAAAAAGGGGAGAGCAGAAGAAGGACAAAAGAAGAGAAACACAACAGGAAGCAAGAACAAAAGAACAGGAAGCACCTCTGGAATATACCGGGAAGTCAACATCTGATTCACCTCAACCACCCACACACACCCCTTCCCCCACAGTGACTTTTCTAACTTCCTTCTCCTCACCTGCCACAATACCTATCTTCAGTAACAACCAAACAGCATTCTTTCTATCCTACCCCCTCTATACTATCTCCCTCTTCCATTTAACCCATCTTTTGCCCCCTCCCATCTTATATCTCCCCATCCACCTATTGTATGTCTTATATTTTTGTTTTTATTTTAACGAAAACTAATAAAGATTATTTTAAACACAGAAAAGAAAAGCTTTGCAGGCTTTCTGAAAAGCAGATAAGTCTTGAATGATTCGAGTTTCCACCGGCAAGGCATTCCATAAATAAGGGGCTATGATCGAGAAGGCTCTATGCCTAGGTAGATGACAAATGATAACTCCGGATGTTAGGGACTGCGAGCAAATTTTGGTCTTCAGACCGGAGTAATCTCTGGGGTTGGTAGGGGGATAAGCGGGCCCTCAGGTACGCCGGCCCCAGACCATATAAGGCCTTAAAGGTTAGTACCAGCACCTTGAAAGTYATCRYGTACTCAATRGGWAGCCAGTGCAYCTGTTGMAGAATTGGGGTGATARGARARCTRGVRYGCACCCRGGRYAGAAGADGAGCCYCCGCATTTTGCACCAGCTTCAGTTTCCGGATCACTGACAAAGGAAGGCCAATGTAGAGGGCGTTACAGTAGTCAAGCCTCGAGATGACCATCGCCTGGATCACCGTAGCAACCAAACTTGTTTATTGAAAGGTCACAGGTTCGAATCCGGGGAGTGGCATGAGCTCCCGCAGTTAGGCCCAGCTTTTGCCA